TAACAAAAGATACTGGATAACTAAATTAGCGATCACCACATAATCCGACATGAGGGGCAGTCGTGTCAGTCTCCAGTCAAACAAACATCCTACTTACAGCTCGCTGGCGTCATGCCGTTGACAATACACTGACAATTGGAGGCCAGCCCTGATAAGTTGTTCATTGTTACATATGCATACATATACATGCATATGGTTGTCATTTGCAGGTTTTTATAAGTTTGGATAAGTAAAATACCTGATAAGTAAACAATTTTGGCGAGTCCCTTGAAATTTTACTTATCAGGTTTCCACTGTATACCGAGATACAGTGCACCCTGGTTATAATGTATGTTGTGTAGACAGATATTCAGCAACTCAGTCTAGGTGGGAAATAGATACCGAGATACAGTGCACCCTTGTTATAATGTATGTTGTGTAGACAGATATTCCGCAACTCAGTCTAGGTGGGAAATAGATACCGAGATACAGTGCACCCTGGTTATAATGTATGTTGTGTAGACAGATATTCCGCAACTCAGTCTAGGTGGGAAATAGATACCGAGATACAGTGCAGCCTAGTTATAATGTATGTTGTGTAGACAGATATTCCGCAACTCAGTCTAGGTGGGAAATATGTACCGAGATACAGTTCACCCTGGTTATAATGTATGTTGTGTTAAGTGTAGACAGATATTCCGCAACTCAGTCTAGGTGGGGAAACAGATACCGAGATACAGTGCACCCTGGTTATAATGTATGTTGTGTAGACAGATATTCCGCAACTCATTCTAGGTGGGAAATAGATACCGAGATACAGTGCAGCCTAGTTATAATGTATGTTGTGTAGACAGATATTCCGCAACTCAGTCTAGGTGGGAAATATGTACCGAGATACAGTTCACCCTGGTTATAATGTATGTTGTGTTAAGTGTAGACAGATATTCCGCAACTCAGTCTAGGTGGGAAACAGATACCGAGATACAGTGCACCCTGGTTATAATGTATGTTGTGTAGACAGATATTCCGCAACTCATTCTAGGTGGGAAATATACAGTGGAAACCGCCTAAGTAAACAATTCTGCTTAACTAAATGTCTTCTCACGGTCCCTGGAAGTAAATTACTTAACAAAAGATACTGGATAACTAAATTAGCGATCACCACATAATCCGACATGAGGGGCAGTCGTGTCAGTCTCCAGTCAAACAAACATCCTACTTACAGCTCGCTGGCGTCATGCCGTTGACAATACACTGACAATTGGAGGCCAGCCCTGATAAGTTGTTCATTGTTACATATGCATACATATACATGCATATGGTTGTCATTTGCAGGTTTTTATAAGTTTGGATAAGTAAAATACCTGATAAGTAAACAATTTTGGCGAGTCCCTTGAAATTTTACTTATCAGGTTTCCACTGTATACCGAGATATAGTGCAAACTGGTTATAATGTATGTTGTGCTAAGTGTAGACAGATATTCCGCAACTCAGTCTAGGTGGGAAATAGATACCGAGATACAGTGCACCCTGGTTATAATGTATGTTGTGCTAAGTGTAGACAGATATTCCGCAACTCAGTCTAGGTGGGAAATATGTACCGAGATACAGTGCACCCTGGTTATAATGTACGTTGTGTAGACAGATATTCCCAACTCAGTTTAGGTGGGAAATATATACCGAGATACAGTGCACCCTGGTTATAATGTATATTGTGTAGACAGATATTCCGCAACTCAGTTTAGGTGGGAAATAGATACCGAGATACAGTGCACCCTGGTTATAATGTATATTGTGTAGACAGATATTCCGCAACTCATTCTAGGTGGGAAATATGTACCGAGATACAGTGCACCCTGGTTATAATGTATGTGATGTAGACAGAGATTCCGCAGCTCAGTCTAGGTGGGAAATAGATACCCAGATACAGTGCACCCTTGTTATAATGTATGTTGTGTAGACAGATATTCCGCAACTCAGTCTAGGTGGGAAATAGATACCGAGATACAGTGCACCCTGGTTATAATGTATGTTGTGCTAAGTGTAGACAAATATTCCGCAACTCAGTCTAGGTGGGAAATAGATGCCGAGATACAGTGCACCCTGGTTATAATGTGTTTCCTCCCAACTCAGTCTAGGTGTGAAAAGAACCTACAGTGGTTATAATGTATGTTGTATTTATGTGTGTACATGCTCCATCTGAGAAATATAGAATGATCCCCGGGGTGACTTCCTCCCACTCTCTGAGAACTACTTGGTGTGGTGTCAATCATGAAAGGACAACCCTAAACTAGGCTCCACTGCCTGACTCCCCGGGGTGACTTCCTCCCACTCTCTGAGAACTACTTGGTGTGGTGTCAATCATGAAAGGACAACCCTAAACTAGGCTCCACTGCCTGACTCCCCGGGGTGACTTCCTCCCACTCTCGGAGAACTACTTGGTGTGGTGTCAATCATGAAAGGACAACCCTAAACTAGGCTCCACTACCTGACTCCCCGGGGTGACTTCCTCCCACTCTCGGAGAACTGCTTGGTGTGGTGTCAATCATGAAAGGACAACCCTAAACTAGGCTCCACTACCTGACTCCCCGGGGTGACCTCCTCCCACTCTCTGAGAACTACTTGGTGTGGTGTCAATCATGAAAGGACAACCCTAAACTAGGCTCCACTGCCTGACTCCCCGGGGTGACCTCCTCCCACTCTCGGGAGAACTACTTGGTGTGGTGTCAATCATGAAAGGACAACCCTAAACTAGGCTCTACTACCTGACTCCCCGGGGTGACCTCCTCCCACTCTCGGAGAACTACTTGGTGTGGTGTCAATCATGAAAGGACAACCCTAAACTAGGCTCCACTACCTGACTCCCCGGGGTGACCTCCTCCCACTCTCGGAGAACTACTTGGTGTGGTGTCAATCATGAAAGGACAACCCTAAACTAGGCTCTACTACCGGGGTGACCTCCTCCCACTCTCAGAGAACTGCTTGGTGTGGGGTCAATCATGAAAGGACCACCCTAAACTAGGCTCTACTACCGGGGTGGCCTCCTCCCACTCTCGGAGAACTGCTTGGTGTGGTGTCAATCATGAAAGGACAACCCTAAACTAGGCTCTACTACCTGACTCCCCGGGGTGACCTCCTCCCACTCTCGGAGAACTACTTGGTGTGGTGTCAATCATGAAAGGACAACCCTAAACTAGGCTCCACTACCTGACTCCCCGGGGTGACCTCCTCCCACTCTCGGAGAACTACTTGGTGTGGTGTCAATCATGAAAGGACAACCCTAAACTAGGCTCTACTACCTGACTCCCCGGGGTGACCTCCTCCCACTCTCGGAGAACTACTTGGTGTGGTGTCAATCATGAAAGGACAACCCTAAACTAGGCTCTACTACCTGACTCCCCGGGGTGACCTCCTCCCACTCTCGGAGAACTACTTGGTGTGGTGTCAATCATGAAAGGACAACCCTAAACTAGGCTCTACTACCTGACTCCCCGGGGTGACCTCCTCCCACTCTCGGAGAACTACTTGGTGTGGTGTCAATCATGAAAGGACAACCCTAAACTAGGCTCTACTACCTGACTCCCCAGGGTGACCTCCTCCCACTCTCGGAGAACTACTTGGTGTGTGGTGTCAATCATGAAAGGACAACCCTAAACTAGGCTCTACTACCTGACTCCCGGGGTGACCTCCTCCCACTCTCGGAGAACTACTTGGTGTGGTGTCAATCATGAAAGGACAACCCTAAACTAGGCTCTACTACCTGACTCCCCGGGGTGACCTCCTCCCACTCTCGGAGAACTACTTGGTGTGGTGTCAATCATGAAAGGACAACCCTAAACTAGGCTCTACTACCTGACTCCCCGGGGTGACCTCCTCCCACTCTCTCGGAGAACTACTTGGTGTGGGGTCAATCATGAAAGGACAACCCTAAACTAGGGCTCTACTACCTGACTCCCCGGGGTGACCTCCTCCCACTCTCGGGAGAACTACTTGGTGTGGGTGTCAATCATGAAAGGACAACCCTAAACTAGGCTCTACTACCTGACTCCCTAAACTAGGCTCTACTACCGGGGTGGCCTCCTCCCACTCTCGGAGAACTGCTTGGTGTGGTGTCAATCATGAAAGGACAACCCTAAACTAGGCTCTACTACCTGACTCCCCGGGGTGACCTCCTCCCACTCTCGGAGAACTACTTGGTGTGGTGTCAATCATGAAAGGACAACCCTAAACTAGGCTCTACTACCTGACTCCCCGGGGTGACCTCCTCCCACTCTCGGAGAACTACTTGGTGTGGTGTCAATCATGAAAGGACAACCCTAAACTAGGCTCTACTACCTGACTCCCCGGGGTGACCTCCTCCCACTCTCGGAGAACTACTTGGTGTGGTGTCAATCATGAAAGGACAACCCTAAACTAGGCTCTACTACCTGACTCCCCGGGGTGACCTCCTCCCACTCTCGGAGAACTACTTGGTGTGGTGTCAATCATGAAAGGACAACCCTAAACTAGGCTCTACTACCGGGGTGACCTCCTCCCACTCTCGGAGAACTGCTTGGTGTGGTGTCAATCATGAAAGGACAACCCTAAACTAGGCTCTACTACCTGACTCCCCGGGGTGACCTCCTCCCACTCTCGGAGAACTACTTGGTGTGGTGTCAATCATGAAAGGACAACCCTAAACTAGGCTCTACTACCTGACTCCCCGGGGTGACCTCCTCCCACTCTCAGAGGAGAACTACTTGGTGTGGTGTCAATCATGAAAGGACAACCCTAAACTAGGCTCTACTACCTGACTCCCCGGGGTGACTTCCTCCCACTCTCGGAGAACTACTTGGTGTGGGGTCAATCATGAAAGGACAACCCTAAACTAGGCTCTACTACCTGACTCCCCGGGGTGACCTCCTCCCACTCTCGGAGAACTACTTGGTGTGGGGTCAATCATGAAAGGACAACCCTAAACTAGGCTCTACTACCTGACTCCCAGGGGTGACCTCCTCCCACTCTCGAGAGAACTACTTGGTGTGGGGTCAATCATGAAAGGACAACCCTAAACTAGGCTCTACTACCTGACTCCCCGGGGTGACCTCCTCCCACTCTCGGAGAACTACTTGGTGTGGGGTCAATCATGAAAGGACAACCCTAAACTAGGCTCTACTACTACCTGACTCCCCGGGGTGACCTCCTCCCACTCTCGGAGAACTACTTGGTGTGGTGTCAATCATGAAAGGACAACCCTAAACTAGGCTCTACTACCTGACTCCCCGGGGTGACCTCCTCCCACTCTCGGAGAACTACTTGGTGTGGTGTCAATCATGAAAGGACAACCCTAAACTAGGCTCTACTACCTGACTCCCCGGGGTGACCTCCTCCCACTCTCGGAGAACTACTTGGTGTGGGGTCAATCATGAAAGGACAACCCTAAACTAGGCTCTACTACTACCTGACTCCCCGGGGTGACCTCCTCCCACTCTCGGAGAACTACTTGGTGTGGGGTCGGGGTCCAGGGATGTATTTGGAACTTTCTCGGGCTAAATTGATAACAGCGACGCATATATGTTTGTAATAAAATAAACCATTAGCTGTGTGTTTCCAATATTGAGGTTTACTGATTTAGTTCTGGACGTCCAGGTCTGCATCTTAAGAATCTAGACTGATAATGATTTCCGTTGATAACTGGAAACACAGTTACACCTCGTGTCTACAGCACCAAAGTTGACACGTCCGCTGATAACTGGAAACACACTTACACCTCGTGTCTACAGCACCAAAGTTGACACGTCCGCTGATAACTGGAAACACAGTTACACCTCGTGTCCACAGCACCAAAGTTGACACGTCCGCTGATAACTGGAAACACAGTTACACCTCGTGTCTACATCACCAAAGTTGACACGTCCGCTGATAACTGGAAACACACTTACACCTCGTGTCTGCAGGACCAAAGTTGACACGTCCGCTGATAACTCGAAACACAGTTACAACTCGTGTCTACAGCACCAAAGTTGACACGTCCACTGATAACTGGAAACACAGTTACACCTCGTGTCTACAGGACCAAAGTTGACACGTCCGCTGATAACTGGAAACACAGTTACACCTTGTGTCTACAGGACCAAAGTTGACACGTCCGGTGATGACTGGAAACATAGTTACAGCTCGTGTCTACAGGACCAAAGTTGACACGTCCGCTGATGACTGGAAACACACTTACACCTCGTGTCTACAGGACCAAAGTTGACACGTCCGCTGATAACTGGAAACACAGTTACACCTCCTCTCTACAGGACCAAAGTTGACACGTCCGCTGATAACTGGAAACACAGTTACACCTCGTGTCTACAGCACCAAAGTTGACACGTCCGCTGATAACTGGAAACACAGTTACACCTCGTGTCTACAGCACTAAAGTTGACGTCCGCTGATAACTGGAAACACAGTTACACCTTGTGTCTACAGGACCAAAGTTGACACGTCCGGTGATGACTGGAAACATAGTTACAGCTCGTGTCTACAGGACCAAAGTTGACACGTCCGCTGATGACTGGAAACACACTTACACCTCGTGTCTACAGCACCAAAGTTGACACGTCCGCTGATAACTGGAAACACAGTTACACCTCGTGTCTACAGGACCAAAGTTGACACGTCCGCTGATGACTGGAAACACACTTACACCTCGTGTCTACAGGACCAAAGTTGACACGTCCGCTGATGACTGGAAACACACTTACACCTCGTGTCTACAGGACCAAAGTTGACACGTCCGCTGATAACTGGAAACACAGTTACACCTCCTCTCTACAGGACCAAAGTTGACACGTCCGCTGATAACTGGAAACACAGTTACACCTCGTGTCTACAGCACCAAAGTTGACACGTCCGCTGATAACTGGAAACACAGTTACACCTCGTGTCTACAGCACCAAAGTTGACACGTCCGCTGATAACTGGAAACACAGTTACACCTTGTGTCTACAGGACCAAAGTTGACACGTCCGGTGATGACTGGAAACATAGTTACAGCTCGTGTCTACAGGACCAAAGTTGACACGTCCGCTGATGACTGGAAACACACTTACACCTCGTGTCTACAGCACCAAAGTTGACACG